AAACAGCCCGTTAGTTACAAGCGACAGTAAACAAAGTGACTGAGTGGTGTGAAGAAATCAGGGCTGTCGTCCATCCGGAAAAAGCGTCTGTTTTGTGGTGTTCTCTAGACAACAGGATTGTTAGAGCAAATGTCCCAAGTCTCACGATAGATGGTAGAAACGTCAACAGAGAGAGCAAACTGGTGTATCTGGGAATTACATTTGATAGGATCCTGTCCTGTAAGGACAATGTGGAGAGTGTTGTGACAAGATGCCAAAAAGGGTTCAGTGCAGAGAATGCTTTTCACACTCTATCAGCACCTGATACTGCCAGTGGTTCATTATGGTCTGTGGCTGCTTACGGTCTCAAAGAGCCAGATGGACAAACTAGAGCGCATACAGAACGCAGCAATGCGGGTCATTCTAGGTTGCACCAGAGACACCCCACAAGTGAGTATGCGATACATCCTTGGTTTGCCAACTGTTGCGGGTAGGCACAAGGTGCTGCAGGCGAAGTCATATCTCAGGAAAGCTCCAGACACAGGCCACGCAGCGCTGGGCGCAGTTAAGGGTCAGCGTCTGATAAGAGGAAAGTCATGGATGGGTCAGGCAGAAGACACAGTCAGTCAGGTTTGCATCTTTGAGAACATTAGGCGAGGAGAGGAGTGGGTCAAAGTGCCACGTGAACAGTCAGACTTGTGTAGGGTCATAATCATACTGATCCGGGAATACATCGACTGGCCAGCGGGTGCTACGGAGGTGAAAATTCAGCATTTAATTCTAGATAATGATCGCTCAGAGGATTAGATCATTTACACAGATGGTTCAGTGTCAAGAGGCAAAAGAAGTGCTTGGGGTTTCCTAGCAAATGGTAATGGTCGACGTTTGGTGCAGGTGAGCCTAGCATATGATACCACAACATCCAGCTTAAGAATGGAGGTTGAGCTGGTCACTTCAGCTTTCCGCTGGTTAGAGAACATGACACACACACACACACACACACACACACACACACACATATTGTGATTGTAACTGTCTCAGAAAGCAGGCTGAGGAAGGTCAGGACAGGCATGCTTCGTGCAGAGTGGCATGTTTCACCGCCGAGGACACGGATGAGGGGTATTGTCCGGGTTTTTTTTTCTCCGAGATATGACGGTGTGTTGGGAAATACAGTTGGACAGACTGGCTGGCTCTGCACAACTTGGTGGTTTGGTGATGCATGATGAAGCAGACGTGGTTAGTGCCTTGTGGGAGAGCGTGTACAGCTAGGAGGAGCAGATGGATCACCACAGTCTGGTGAGATTGATGCAATGGGGAGTGACGAGAGGTTCTGGCAGATGCTCGAGGCTCAGAGGAAAGGCAAGACGGATGTTTAATCAAACTGCTACTGGCACCATTATTATCAGAACTTTGCACTGGCTGCTGAAGATGGGGACGGAGCGCTTATAGGAATGCCCCGGGTGCTGCTATGTCGGTTCGTGAATTAACTCAACTCAACTCACAGCTGAGTTCATTCTAATATAATCAAAAGCATATTTCAACTCAGGATTAGGTGTCGGCACTATCTCATAAGCGGCGTCCGTGGCTAAGGCGTTGAGAGTCCGACTCGTAAGGCAGCATACCGCGATCGAAACCCACTGCAGCGTGGATTTTTGTCGTGGTATGGGACGTCGCAGGTCGACCCAGCCTAAAATGGGTACCAGGATGGGCTGTCCTAGGAAAGTAAAGACAGCTGGCGTAATGCTGACCACATTACCCACAGTGCTGATGGTCTGAAAAAATATGGGACGCTCTGCCCATATGCCCGATGCGCCAAAAGGCGTGAAAAGGGAACTTTACTTTTTTTTTATTACTATCTCATAATCAACCACCACCACTCTATTCTATCCACAAAATGATGATCTATTTGCGATGCCGCATTGTTCACTGATTCCTAAATAGCCTTTGGAAGGTATTGCTTGTCATGCATCAAGTCATCACCCAGTGGTACAGCACTAGCCAAGATATCTGGCTGTTTATTATTCAACACACCTGCCTGCTCTGGAGGTTATATCCAAAGCACTATATCTACAGGGGACCACTAAAGTGATGCTTGTCACTGAACGGAGACTGTCTTTCTCAACTTTTCTCAGGTGTATAAGTGTATAGTATCAATTAATCTGTTAGAAACGATCTAAGTGGAATTGTCTTTGACCGAAAGACTCAAAAATATGGTAGCTTATACATATGAATGTGTAGGTTTAGGTATGTGAATTGTGTATAAGGGTGCCTCTGGTTGCATTTGTATGGACCACAAGCACATACGATTTGGCTTGAATTGGTTGAGGGCCTATGCTCCATTGGATGTTAGAAAGGCAGAAGAATATGAAAAAAGAAGACCTGCAACAAATAAATAATTTTAAAGCATAGACACTATCAGCGCAGTTGTTGTTGCAGCAACTTCTGCTACAATTCTATCAAGCAACTTCTAATGCTACACCCGATGCTACTGCTGCTACTTCCTGTTACCATTAAATCTACAACAACAGCTTGTGTTCCTGATGTTTATTCTGCTGTTGTTGCTGCTGCTACAACTGCTTCATCTGCTTCAGTCCTCTTCTTTTTGTTATGTTGTCTTTGACAACAACGTAGGCAGGCTGATTTGGTCTATAAAACAAGACATTATCACTACTGTTTTTTGTGGCTACCATGCCTTATGCGTTTCGAGTCCGACTCGGAATTCCAACGAACCACGATCGAAACCCACTGCTGGCTGCGTAGATTTTTTTCATGGTATGGGGCCTAGTCTAAAATGGGTACCAGGAGGGATTTTCTGTGAAAGAAAAGACGGCCAGCGTAATGATGACCACATTACGCACCTATTGCCGATTGGTCTGTAAAAATATGGGTGATCTTCTCATATACCCGGTACGCCTAAACGTGTGGAAAGGGATCTATACTTTACTTTACTTACTACTGTTAATTTTTACAACTTTTTTAGGGCGGCTTAGACAAGGGTTGTGCCCCTGTGAATTCACGGCCCAGTGGTTACTGCTGTGCAGGATAGGATGTTTATTTTTACTCCTGAATTGAAAAACTACTTCACTTTACAGTGCTTCGAACGCGGGCCTCCCGCATGATAGCCGTATGCTAACTAGCCCTTCTGATTTGATCTATGTTCGTAATTTATACGTTATTGCAAGGTCAGAATGAAACAGTGCAAGATGTGCCCCATGCTTCCTGTAAGGAGTTTTTATCTCCTCGATAAATAATGTTTGCATTGGTAATGAGGTTAGACACTAAACATAGATTATCAAGTACAAAGTATGATGCACTTTCAGAGAAGTAGGCCAATTAACCAAAGCGTGCCAAAGAAAGGCGAACGTGGGCTACGTTCGTCAACACGAGAGAAAGAAAGGTTATTTAGGCTTGAAATGATCGAGAATGAACAATCTTGTCTTCGGTGGTGGAACGGTGATAAGAGTGGAATGAATCTATCGGCGAAGAAGTGTCTGTTTCGGATTTGAATGCAGTTTCCACGAAAACCTGGCCATCGAATTCAGACTTGAGTCAGTAGAACTGAGCTCGTATGGATTACTACACATGCTCTATGATGTTGATCCGTCATCTAAGCTTAAACCTAGACTGACAGTACTTAGCCTTGTATAAAGATGATTTATACTGACAGGCACATCACACACACAGTTTTATCATTATGAAATTAGTCAAAATATTATCTTTTTAGACTATACAGTAATATAAATGTTAACTGTAGACATCGTGTCAAAAACCTTAGTAGCCTATGTATTGCTCATAAACAATTTTTTTTTCCCTCTCTAATATTTCCACTAGACCAATGTCACATTTCTCTCTGTCAGACACACACAAACACACACACGTGTATATACATACCTATATATACATATATTTATATATAAAAAGCATATATACACACACGTATACACATATATATAACGCATATATACACACACGTATATATATATATATATATATATATATATATGTGTGTGTGTGTGTGTGTGTGTGTGTGTGTGTGTACATGCGGCGTCTGTGGCCTAGGCGTTGTGAGCCCGACTCGTAATTCCAACGTACCACGATCAACAGCTACCTCTGGCTGCGTGGAATTTTATCACGTTATGGGGCGTCGCAGGTCGACTTAGTCAAAAATAAAGTTCACGAAATTGTCTGTCTGTTGTGTTGAGAACTGAGGTACCGACAGTACCGTAGCATATTTTATGTGATCAGCAAAGCCTTCCATGCGTTGTTCTTGCTGGTTTTCAAAAATAAAGTTCACGAAAGTGACAGTGACCTCAATAAAAGTATTCCATTGTCTTCATAGTCTTTTTCACGTTTACCGGCTGTAGACTCGGTGGAAAGTTCTAGTCGTGCATGCACTTCTGTACTTTAGCCCTGTTCGTGAACTTGAGTTTTGCCTGCACACCCGTTTTACAGATATGGCTTTTTTCAATGTGGAGTTGGTTCCTTTACTCCCAACTAGATGTTCACAGATTTATAAGGAAACCGTGCCTGTTACGGGGCAGTCTGTCTATTGACTGACTGACTTTCTACCCCACCAGGACATCACACAAGCGATAAACACCCGACGACACAAAGTGCCACCATGCGGATGAGGATCGCCGTGGAGAGGTCCCAGAAACCACGTTCAGGCAATTGGCCATATTTATGGCCTGCCTATATTACGGCCCCTGGCAAAAGCCAGGGTGGGGATTTAAATGACAAAAAAGGACAAAACTGGATTATGAAGTCTGTCTATTCGTGTACTCTCACAATAGAGCCACGGAATCGACATTCTAAATATGCTACACATGTCTCTAAAATTAGATACAAACACCAACAATATTTTATGCATTATGTTTTTTTAAATATATCTTTTTTTCTAACATTGACAGAACAGTGAAACCATAATCATTGATTGTTGTTTCAGTTTTGTTGTTGTTGTTGTTGTGGATAACCGCAAAGTCCATAACTGAATGTTTCAACCAAAAAAGAGCATCTTCCAATCAAACGGGATGTACGTGCGATGTTTCTTTCATCCGACTTTCACAAGGATTCACAAAATCGTCCTGTCGATTACTGGGTGGATACCTGACACAAATAGTATATATATATATATATATATATATATATATATATATATATATATATATATATATATATATATATATATATATATATATATATATATATATATTGGGGGGGGGGGGTGTTTTAAACATAAAAACTATCTATATTACATCATAGTATTTTGTTTTTGTGTGTAGCTGTTTTCTATTACTTACCTATTTTTTCTACCTTGTTCATTTATTTACTTCTTGATGTCTTACTCTCTGAAGAGGGGAAAATCGTGGCTAGGTTGGGCAGAAGATGTTATTAGGCAAATATGCAGCCTAACCGACATCATACCTGGTGCAGAATGGATACCTGTGCCTCAGGCGTTTATTTGTACATTTTCCTGTATTGTCACACTCAACAGGCGATGTAGATAAGAGAATCCTGTTGCTGTTAATGCAGAGGTCAACGCTCTCATCGGTGAAAATTCAGACGAAGCAGATGCACTAATCTATACAGACGGATCCGTTATACGCCAAAGAAGAAGCTCATGGGCATTCACAGCACGCACAGCGGGCAGAACAGTCAAGGAAGCCAACGGCGCCTTCTCCATGACAACCAGCAGCATGACGATGGAGGTGATGGCAGTGAAGCGTTTGCCTGACTTGAAACAAAAAATACACCCGCGTATGTATCCTCAGTGATTCAATGAGTATGATCAGGAGGGTTCAAGCAGGTTCAGTGCGAAGACAATGGCTTGAATCATTAAAGAAGTCCACTGTGCGTGGCGTCACCTTTATTTTTGTTCTGGGACACGGAGGCGTCGATGGAAATGAAAGAGCTGACAGGTTGGCTGGATCCGCTATCACTACCGACGGTCAGCCTATGGATCATGCTGATATTATCAATGCCCTCAGAGAAATGGGAAGGATAGAGGACTTTGGTGGCAATGAATCCACATCACTCGCCAGAATGGCAGACTTCGGAATTAAGTTCGGCACAGCAAAAAACGAGACGTACACAAGACACGCCAGAAGACTTGTTAATCAACATAGAACTGGTACTATTAGCCATCGGACGTTGGGGTTCATACTGAGGGAAGGATCTGAGCACCTATGGACATGTCCGGAGTGCAATGATGATAACCCAACTAACTAACTAACTAACTAACTAACTAACTAACTAACTAACTAACTAACTAACTAACTAACTAACTAACTAACTAACTAACTAACTAACTAACTAACTAACTAACTAACTAACTAACTAACTAACTAACTAACTAACTAAATACTCTCATTGTTGTTGTTATCTTGTTGTTTCTGTTCTTTTTTTCTCCTCCACTTTCTTCTTCTTCTTCTTCTTCTTCTTCTTCTTCTTCTTCTTCTTCTTCTTCTTCTTCTTCTTCTTCTTCTTCTTCTTCTTCTTCTTCTTCTTCTTCTTCTTCTTCTTCTCTTCTTCTTCTTCTTCTTCTTCTTCTTCTTCTTCTTCTTCTTCTTCTTCTTCTTCTTCTTCTTCTTCTTCTTCTTCTTCTTCTTCTTCTTCTTCTTCTTCTACTTCTTCTTCTTTTTCTGCTTCGTTTAAGAACATTAACACCAAATCTAACATCATAATTTGTAACAGTCTAGGCGTTCTTAGTCCAGGTGGTATCAATATCCAACATACCTTAATCTAAACAGTTTTACTCTTCATTTATGTATCATTAACATTTGTATTTCTTTTGTTCCCACTATTATATTATGTAATAACAATATTATTTTTCATGTGTTTTTTTTTTTTTTTTCGATTATATATTTTGTTAGCCATCGTTTATTTTATTTTCTTTTTTTTAATTCCACTTCACATTTTTTAAACGTTGCTCACGTCACCCCTTAGAGATCTGTATAATCTTCTCTCCTCGTTGTTACCTTTGTGTAGTTCATGTATCACAAAGGCTGCAGGGCCAAAACGTTATTTGTGTTGTTTTGTGCACATTTTTCTGCTTCCCTATTTGGTTAAGCTTTTTAGTCAAATTTCTTAGAAATTCATAATAATAAATGTTATCGTAATGATAATATTAATAATGATTTACATTTGTTGACAGTAACAACTGTTAAATATATCATACCTGGGTCCAGTTCGTTGAAATATGCCGTGTGAAGGTCTAGTCTCGTCTATAATTTGTAGACCGCTGGCCACGAAGTGTTCACAGGTAAACAGTGTGGAGTACACTGCATCTTTCTGAGGTATACCGTGTCATGAATACATATCAGTTAATGAGTTAATCTCTGTCCCAGCTTCATGCAAGTCAAACGGATCACCCCATTGTTGCTGTGTTCGTGTGACAATGAAAACCATTTAGGACGCCAATCTTGTGATAACATTGAAACAGACCGCCGTCACAGGCTAAATGTAGGAAACCTTCGGCAACGGACTTACTAGGTGATGATGATGTTGATGATGTTGATGATGTTGATGATGTTGATGATGATCACGATGATGATGTTGATGATCATGTTGATGATGTTGATGATCATGTTGATGATGTTGTTGATCATGTTGATGATGTTGATGATCATGTTGATGATGTTGATGATCATGTTGATGATCATGTTGATGATGTTGATGATCATGTTGATGATGTTGATGATCATGTTGATGATGTTGATGATGTTGAGGATCATGTTGATGATGTTGATGATGATGTTGATGATGTTGATGATCATGTTGATGATGTTGATGATGTTGATGATGATGTTGATGATATTGATGATCATGTTCATCATGTTGATGATGTTGATGATCATGTTGATGATGTTGATGATCATGTCGATGATGTTGATGATCATGTTGATGATGTTGATGATCATGTTGATGATGATCACGATGATGATGATTATGTAGATAGTGTGACCACATTATCTAGAGCTGAAAACGGGACATTCCACTAATATTATGAGCTGAAAACGGGACATTGCACTAATGTTTTGAGCTAAAAACAGGACATTCCAATCAGTCCCTTTGACCCTAACCTCACTACCCCTTTATTTATATGTGACCCGGCTGAAAGTGTTAATTATTCGTTTGACATTGGTACTACTTAAACCTGAACCACTTTCGCCAAGAAGTCAATGCAATAAAATGCTACCCAACAGTACTAAAAAAAATAAAAAAATTAATCATGCTAAAATGAAACCATATTTCGCGCGATAAAAGTATCGAAAACAGTGAAATCAAATTGGATCCACAGTCATAACTATAGGTGTATTAAGTAACTATATATTTTTAAACACCAGAAAAACGAGACTATCCGGATGAAAACGGGACGTATGGTCACTCCAGATAATGATGAAATTTTAACTTATGATCTCCAAGGAAAGTTTAGGGAAAAGTTTATGCAGTTCTGTTACTAGCGTGTTTAATGTTTGCCCATCGTTTGCTGATTTAAGAATCGACATCATGACCTACCGGGCATACTCAGAGGTGCTCCGTCTCCCACTGCAAACGGCTTCAGATGTTGATGCTGTCTCCTCCAGGACCGCTTTGGTTGTGCACATGTGCTACTTTTTCTTTCATATACCTTCTTGCTAAATCCTCACGAATTCCCAGTTTACGCAACCTTACACACTTGGTTTCATTTAACATTGTGTCTCTCTTCAACATTCCTTCTCAATTTCTAAGATGTTACTATTGTGCCTTCCAAAAGCATATGTGGCTCTGAAACGTGATTGGCTATCTATTATTAGCTTATTGTTAGCTATATAGTTTCGTTATTTTTATGTATGTGTTTCACTAGTGCTTTCGATAAAGACGAAGGTAGAAAATAGGCCTAAAATTACCTAAGGAAATGTTGTCGGCTGCGGTAGGTTTGAGCAGATGATAAACTCTAGCAGTTTTGAATGCCGATGGAAAATAATTATTGACAAGACACTAATTATAAATGAAAGTTAAGGATAATATTCGTACTTTTGTCGACATTCTCCTTTGTGTCGCAGGATAACAGATGATCGGTTTCTGAGCTAAGGCACGCTCGGCTACTCGGTATTCTGTGATGTTGTGGAGTCTCAAGGGAAGACCACTTCAATCAATCTTCTTCTTGGTTTTTCCTTCCCTCTTGACGTTTCTACTTTTATTTTGAACGCTTTTATTGTTGGCATCAGTTAGTCTTTATTATTCATTTAATTTAATTATAGGCGTTCAACCAATAGTTCTTTTATTTCTTCGTTTCTCACATGATTTCGTTTAGTTTTGTTCACAGCCTTTCTCAAACATCTCATTTCGCAGGTGATCAGTTTTGTATTCGTGTCCTTGGATAAACCTTTACTAAAAAAAAAAAAAGCATAAAACTTTCTATAACGTAAGGTCGTCCGCAGGTTAGCAGTAGGAAAGTTAAAAAAAATTTTTATTTACTAAGTATGTCGTAAGAGAACTCAAAATTTGACTGCCCATATTTAGTAAATACATGCAGTTGAATACCAGATGCAAATCCACTACTCATAAATTAATTACAAGGCTTCGAATGAGTTACATGTTTTTCTAAGCTCTATTGTGAGATTAGCAGCACCAGAAGTAGTAATACTATTAGTAGTATCTACCGCAGTAATAATAGTTGTAGTAACAGCACATCAACAGTAGTAGCAATGGCAATCAAATTAATTTTAAAAGTAACATTATTAGAAATTGCTGGTGTTGATGTTGAAGAAGAAAAACAAGAAGATACAGGACGGAAAGAAGGATGTGTAGGAGAAACTGAAAGAGAGCAAGAAAAAGAACAAGAACACAAACAAGAAGAAAAATACAACGACGAACTTCGGCTGGAGAAGTGATGGTAACACTATCAAGTGCTGATTTATTTACAAATCCTGTACCATGGCGCTCTGTACCCAAGACATAATCAGGGTGGTCGTAGCGGGGCATCAGCACCTTTGGCATTTTCAGTGGAAGGAATTCAAGGATCTTAAGACTTTCTTAAGTGCCTAATAATATTAACTATTATTATGTGCTGACTGGTAAAAAAGAAAAGATAACGCACTGACAAGTTAAAAGATCTAAACATCAAGGATGATTGGCTAATAAACATAATCTTGTTTTGAAAGTTGAAATGTGTTGATCATATCAAGCGCCATAACGGATTGGAAAACAAAATAATACAGCAGGCAGGTTACCAAAGCCAACCGATAAGAAGATGGGCACACGATATAGGTGACTGCTTGAATATGAAAGTACATGAGATGGGAGAGCTGGCTAGCGACATAGTATCTCTCACAGAGACCGTGGTGAGAGCGACATTCTACAAAAGACCTTATTCATGATGATGCTAAATAGTAAATAAATATGATAATCAAATTCAAACAATATGAAATATATAACTGAATAATTGGAAAACAGATTGTATGTTCAGGTTGGCAGGATCATTTGGGCCGCTCACCCATTTTCTAAGAAGAGGTGCCCGACACCACCGTATCTTTTTCTGTAACTAGTAAATATGAAATATTAGTAGGAAGGGAGTTAAACTATCTAAGCACATATATCTGGACCAGTACCATATACTAATATACTTCTCATGGAGCAATAAATGTCCGTGTACATTGTACACATACACACCAAATGTGAATACGTACCTCGTTGGTGCTGTTGCAAATTTGACTCATTCCAGAATAGATACCATTTCCTACAGACACGTACGATCCCGAGCAGTCATCCTCTATCTCATCTAGCGTCAGGTTATACAAGTGGTCAAGCTTGATTTCTCCCGGCCTGCAGACGAACAAGGGGTGTATGGTCAATGTATTCTTCCTCAGCATTTCGAGCAATTGAGGTTCACTGCGGCTGATAACATATGCTTCAAATCATCTCTTTGTTCAGCGAAGAGTCGTAATGCAGCGGATACCGTCTCTTGTGGCGTGCCTGGAAATGAGAAAGCTGATCAACTGGCAGGGGAAGGTGCGACAAAAGAGCAGCCAGATGTACCAGTCACATACCACCAAAAGAAAAGAATAATTAAATCTATCAGGAAACCACCAGCCCCAGCACAAGACGACTATTTTATTATGGACAGACCAGAACAAGTCATTATCTTCCGCCTCAGAACAGGGCACAACCGATTACATAACCACATGTAAACAAAATTCAAGACAGGTGTATCAGCCATGTGCACCTGTGGAAATATGCCCCAGACCGCAGAGCATGTACTCCAGGACTGCACCGATTTTGACACATTAAGGCAAACCTTTTGGCCAGAAAGAACAACAGTGGAACGTAAACTCCATGGACCACTGAATGAACTAACAACGACAGTGAAATTTATACAAGAGACAAAACTGCTGATATAGATAACTTATTTCAGGCAAACGAAAGAAGAAGAAGAAGAATCTCTTTGGTTGGCTTTATTTGACCAGTTTCTGACACCAAGAACTTGTAGGTCTGTTTTGATATTCGTTGCCCATCGTCATCTTAGTCTATCTCCTGGTTTCAATCTATCAATCAGTTATGTGTCGTCTCTACAATGAAGATTGGATCCCCAGTACGCCCTGTCTCTTGTCTGGGTTATATACCCACTCAGACTGTTGTTCTTTCATATCCCGATGTTGTCCCCACATTTGAATCGTTTTTTTTTTCTTGTAGTCTTGCACTTTACCTTTCCCTCCAGTATTGTATAAAAACACTGCTATATCTTAGTGACGTTAATTTTTAAATTGACGGTATTTTTTTTGGTCAGCAAACCTCTTTTTATTTCACTTTCTCCGACACTTTTGTAATTTATTGTTTTTGTATCAATGAAATACGAGACATCGTTATTATTCTGCATATCCTCAATTTCAAGAGACTCGTTTATCTAGCTGCCTCATGGTCCAAGATCACACAACAGCCCCAGTGTACACAGTGCTTGCATCTCAGTCATCTGCCTCTGTCTCGCTCTCTATCTCTCACTGTCACTCTCTCTCTCTCTCTGTCTCTCTCTGTCTCTCTCTGTCTCTCTCTGTCTCTCTCTGTCTCTCTCTGTCTCTCTCTGTCTCTCTCTGTCTCTCTCTCTCTCTCTCTCTCTCTCTCTCTCTCTCTCTCTAAATTCACTCACCATAACAGTAAATGATCCCTCCTGATGCATGCAATCAGTGGTGATTTAAACAGATTATGCATTTAGTTCCAGCTCCCCTCTCTCCATTTTTCCCTGTTTCATGACTGATGGGTCAACAGATTCGGCATAGAGCTTCGTTCTCAAAGACATCACCTAATGTATGCATGCTTATCAATCAACACGTGCTTAACCGACGTCGCTCGCTTTATGGCAGGTCTGAAAGTCTGCCCCGCAGTCAGTTCTTCAACCATATGTCTCTTCCTCTATCGTGTCCACCTTAACAGAGGTCGGCATCTGTCTTGTTTATTTCGGAAAATACACCCTCCATCACCGTTCTCTTCGGGCCACTATGACCTCCAGCCTGGCCAGAATATCTTATCTGGTCTTCCTATTTTTTTACATTTCTTTTCAGCCAAAATGAGCCACAGCAACGCATGGATGGGCACAGCTAGTTTAAAAAAAAAAAAAATAAATACGAATACGAAGAATACATTGCAACCTAGCTAATAGTAGGGTACTGCTGGGGTGACAGTTTATTAACCCTCACATAATGCTTCAGGTCCAAATGAACACTAGGCACCGCCACTGTTTTGCTTCTGCCAGACTGTGGCCGTTGCTTTTTTGCTCAATTTGTAGACTAGAAGTATATAGTTTCGTTACCCAGCTTCTGAGTTGAGTGCATGGTGTGACACTGTGAGCTGCGGACTTCATTTGGAATGTTTTTCGACTGACCAACGTGGTGGTGTGATTTGTAGGTTCAGTAAATGGCGCGATGCCGGTTCTCGCAATATTGGTGGGGCCATTATTTGATTAAAATTGATCGCGAATGCAACTGCTAATATTTTGGTGATTTCTGCTACCAGCAATGATGAACTGCATTTCTAACGTCATACTGTTTGTGTTAGCACTTCGGGTGGCTACCATATGCTTTTAATGCGAGTGCATGCTAGATTTGCTGGCACAGTAGTTTGTCTTTCCACAAGGGACTGTGATAAACATTCTGTGTGTTTTTCGTTGGCACAGGAGCGGAGCAAGGATGGGGTGACCCGTTTGCTGTGAAGCTGAAATTAAAATTACCAGATTACCAGATTACCAGATTACCAGATACATACATACATACATACATACATACATACATACATACATACATACATACATACATACATACATACATACATACATGCATGCATGCATACATACATACATGCATGCATGCATACATACATACATACATACATGCATGCATACATACATACATACATACATACATACATGCATGCATGCATGTTGATGATCATGTTGATGATCATGTTGATGATGTTGATGATGTTGATGATGTTGATGATCATGTTGATGATGTTGATGATGATCATGTTGATGATGTTGATGATGATCATGTTGATGATGTTGATGATGTTGATGATGATCATGTTGATGATGTTGATGATGTTGAGGATGATCATGTTGATGATGTTGATGATGATCATGTTGATGATGTTGATGATCATGTTGATGATGTTGATGATGATCATGTTGATGATGATGATGATGTTGATGATGTTGATGATCATGTTGATGATGTTGATGATGATCATGTTGATGATGTTGATGATGATCATGTTGATGATGTTTGATGATCATGTTGATGATGTTGATGATGTTGATGATGTTGATGATGATCATGTTGATGATGTTGATGATGTTGATGATGTTGATGATGATCATGTTGATGATGTTGATGATGATCATGTTGATGATGTTGATGATGATCATGTTGATGATGTTGATGATCATGTTGATGATGTTGATGATCATGTTGATGATCATGTTGATGATGTTGATGATGTTGATGATCATGTTGATGATGATCACGATGATGATGATTATGTAGATAGTGTGACCACAATACCTGGAGCTGAAAACGGGACATTCCACTAATATTTTGAGCTGAAAACGAGACATTGCACTAATGTTTTGAGCTAAAAAAACAGGACAATCCAAGTCAGTCCGTTTGACCCTAACCTCACTACCCCTTTATTTATAAGTGACATACATACATGCATACATGCATACATGCATACATGCATACATGCATACATGCATACATGCATACATGCATACATGCATACATGCATACATGCATACATACATGCATACATACATGCATACATACATACATGCATACATACATACATACATACATACATACATACATACATACATACATACATACATACATACATACATACATACATACATACATACATACATACATACATACAAGTGTGTGTGAGAGTGTGATTATATAAGTTAGTTTTAATACAGTTTAACATTCTCTGAATACCTACCTGTACTTGGTGGTATTCCTAAAGCTGTATGTACGCACATGAAGGATGCGGTGACTCTTCTCATCCTCATGAACTGTCCCCAGCTTGGAGTTGTTGGCTGTGCCATTGACTGAGCTTTCTGCAAACAGGGCTCGATGCTTATGTTGGACATATGTACGAAGTAAAGTGATTCAAGCCAATTATGAATAATGAAAAAAAAAAAGGAAATTATATTGTCTTTCCACTTGTCTGTCGATCAATGAGTCACTAAGCAAGTCAATCGAATAATTATTCGTATGTAGGTAGATGCTTTGCTAGATAGATAGATAGATAGATAGATAGATAGATAGATAGATAGATAGATAGATAGATAGATAGATAGATAGATAGATAGATAGATAGATAGATAGATAGATAGATAGATAGATAGATAGATAGATAGATAGATAGATAGATAGATAGATAGATAGATAGATAGATAGATAGATAGATAGATAGATAGATAGATAGATAGAGATAGATAGATAGATAGATAGATAGATAGATAGATAGATAGATAGATAGATAGATAGATAGATAGATAGATAGATAGATAGATAGATAGATAGATAGATAGATAGATAGATGGGTAGGTGGGTAGGTGGGTAGGTGGGTGGGTGGGTGGGTGGGTGGGTAGATGGATGGGTGGGTGGGTGGGTAGATGGATGGGTAGATGGATGGATGGATGGGTAGATGGATGGGTAGATGGATGGGTAGATGGATGGGTAGATGGGTAGATGGGTAGATGGGTAGATGGGTAGATGGGTAGATGGGTAGATGGATGGGTAGATGGGTAGATGGGTAGATGGGTAGATGGATGGGTATATGGGTAGGTAGATGGATGGGTAGATGGATGGGTATATGGGTAGGTAGATGGATGGGTAGGTAGATGGGTATATGGGTAGGTAGATGGATGGGTAGGTAGATGGATAGATAGGTAGGTAGATGGATAGATAGGTAGGTAGATGGATAGATAGGTAGGTAGATGGATAGATAGGTAGGTAGATGGATACACAGATTAGATAGGTAGGTAGATGGATACACAGATTAGATAGGTAGGTAGATGGATACACAGATTAGATAGGTAGGTAGATGGATACACAGATTAGATAGGTAGGTAGATGGATACACAGATTAGATAGGTAGGTAGATGGATACACAGATTAGATAGGTAGGTAGATGGATACACAGATTAGATAGGTAGGTAGATGGATACACAGATTAGATAGGTAGGTAGATGGATACACAGATTAGATAGGTAGGGGTGATGGATACACAGATTAGATAGGTAGGGGTGATGGATACACAGATTAGATAGGTAGGGGTGATGGATACACAGATTAGATAGGTAGGGGTGATGGATACACAGATTAGATAGGTAGGGGTGATGGATACACAGATTAGATAGGTAGGGGTGATGGATACACAGATTAGATAGGTAGGTAGATGGATACACAGATTAGATAGGTAGGTAGATGGATACACAGATTAGATAGGTAGGTAGATGGATACACAGATTAGATAGGTAGGTAGATGGATACACAGATTAGATAGGTAGGTAGATGGATACACAGATTAGATAGGTAGGTAGATGGATACACAGATTAGATAGGTAGGTAGATGGATACACAGATTAGATAGGTAGGTAGATGGATACACAGATTAGATAGGTAGGTAGATGGATACACAGATTAGATAGGTAGGTAGATGGATACACAGATTAGATAGGTAGGTAGATGGATACACAGATTAGATAGGTAGGTAGATGGATACACAGATTAGATAGGTAGGTAGATGGATACACAGATTAGATAGGTAGGTAGATGGATACACAGATTAGATAGGTAGGTAGATGGATACACAGATTAGATAGGTAGGTAGATGGATACACAGATTAGATAGGTAGGTAGATGGATACACAGATTAGATAGGTAGGTAGATGGATACACAGATTAGATAGGTAGGTAGATGGATACACAGATTAGATAGGTAGGTAGATGGATACACAGATTAGATAGGTAGGTAGATGGATACACAGATTAGATAGGTAGGTAGATGGATACACAGATTAGATAGGTAGGTAGATGGATACACAGATTAGATAGGTAGGTAGATGGATACACAGATTAGATAGGTAGGTAGATGGATACACAGATTAGATAGGTAGGTAGATAGATACACAGATTAGATAGGTAAGTAGATAGATACACAGATTAGATAGGTAGGTAGATAGATACACAGATTAGATAGGTAGGTAGATAGATACACAGATTAGATAGGTAGGTAGATAGATACACAGATTAGATAGGTAGGTAGATAGATACACAGATTAGATAGGTAGGTAGATAGATACACAGATTAGATAGGTAGGTAGATAGATACACAGATTATATAGGTAGATTGGACAAAGACTTCAGATACATTATGTGTTCCCCTCAGCTAGTCCCTTTGTGCCAGCCTATGTGTTTTTGAAAATCAAATGTAGCTAGACAATTTTATACATCATGTCTGTGTGTGCCTATTTGTAGCTTCTTCTTCTTCTTCATCTTCTTCTTCTCTTCCACCTTGTACCTCATCGAAGTGTCGGGGGGAGATGTAATGTTCGTTGATGAGCTCTGTCAAGAGCACTATTAAGACTGATGTTCATTTCTGTAAGGCTGTTCTTAATGCCATCACTCCATATTTTCCGAGGTCTTCCACTCGCTTGATACCCGTTGTAACGTTTTAGTGTGGCTCGCTGTGGCAGATAGTACCAGGGCATTCTTGTTAGGTGTCCAAACCATTTCATTTATTGTTCTTTGATGACCTGTAAGATTGGCTTTATTCCTAGCATTCGTCTAATTTCATGATTTTGTATTCTGTCTTTCCTTGAAACTCCTGCAGCTCTTCTAAGGCATTTCATCTCTGTTGTCACAATTTTACGTTCATTGGAGGATGTAAGTGTCCACGTTTGGCACTGATAGCATAATATTGGCCAAAAAATAGTTCTGATAAGATTCACTTTAGTACTGTGAGGTATCTGCTTGTGTGTCAACAGGGGAGATAGTCGACCCATTACTTGATTAGCTTTGGCACATCTGGAGCTAATTTCTCTGTCCAGTCTTCCGTCTGAAGTAAAAATTGATCCCAAATACTTAAATTCCTCTGTTTGTCTCAGGGTGTTGTTTTTTAATTTAATTTCTAAATTGTCTTTATGTCTTCCTATCATCATTGTCCCTATTTGTAGCTTACCGGGTATAAAGCCGGGATGTCAACAGTCACGTATTTGACCTCAATGACCTCGTTCTGGTCGGATCCAGCCTCGACGTCTGCTCTGTTGGACCAGGTACCGTTAACCACAAACATGAAATCCAATACAACGTCTGGCTCAAAGAATAAAGAAAACTAGATGTTCCTTTTCAAGGTAATAACTCTGAACAATTCAGTTCTAAAATACATAATATATGTAAGTTTGTGTTAATCAGTAATGAAGTGAGGATTTTGAAAGAAATGACGTTTGAGAGTGAGTGCATGATGGTGGTTCTGATTTTAAAATTAAAACGGACAATCAGCACAACGCCGAAAGATGGGTGCGCCGGAAGATAGGTGGTTAGCCACAACCACACCCTCACCCCTTCCCCAATAATATGGTGGTTGATTTTCCCTAAACGCTATATAAGACAGTGCCATTGTCCATACACAGAACATATATAGAAGCATCGGCGACTGGGCGGCCCTTTGGCTCGTCGCTAGACCACTTCATCTCTGGTCGGTTCAGTATTTGGGTCTATTTCCTTTGATCGCATCAACACTGCAGGAATTCTTTTCGAGCTTTTTCGTGGCATACTAAACCATTTTATATGGTTCACATAACCTTGCATAACTATAATCTATAGTTCTCCTTTCAAGGATGCTGGTTGAACGCGATGCTTTTTTTATTTTTTTTTTTTAAACATAGCACCTAACTACCATCCATATATAGACATGCGCTTTAAAGTTATCTATCTGTTCACATTTTTGGATGCCATTTAGTACATTATTACCACTTTTTAAACTAGAATTGCTCCCCCTCGCGCCTTCTTTTCTAGAAAATGCTAAGACACTGCCCTACCCCCCCCCCCCCTAAGTATTTTCTTGCTGCCGGCATACCTGGGGTAGGATATTTATCTAGAAGCATTTACCTGTATGCTTAATGTTCTTTGACTCTTTAATCAGTCACTGGAACACACCTTAAACAGGGCGTTACAAGGGTACGTCGGTGTGATGTTGTCCACATCACCCATCTTGTGCCGATTTGTCTATAAAAATATAGGTCTAGCCCTATTTGCCCGATACGCCTAAAAACGTGAAAAAGAGTCCTTCACATTTTACTTTTCACTAGGGTACGTCATGTTGGTATCACTGATTAACAGCAAACTATGCTTTATAGGAACCGCTGTAACATTGTGCCAAGCAGCTCGCTTGCTAGCCGGAACAGTTAGGTTCGAACCGCTTCCAGTCAAAACTTTTATGAAAATTGACCTAGGCTCCCGGATCCACCAAGCTGTAACTGGGTACCAAGAAATGCTTTGGGAAGTAAAGACAGCCGGCGTCGTGTTAACCACATCATCATCTGAATGCCAAATGGTTTATAGAAATGTGAGTAGCATCGTCTGCACGATGCACGATGGCTTAAAAAGGCGTCCTTTACATCTTGACATTTTTATGGATAGACAGCTGACGGTGGTCACTGCAGTATTAGTTAACTCTTTTCGCTGTTTTACACCAATGTTTGTAAAGCGTTCACGTTATCGTTTGTGTGGGTTGGAACTCACACAAACACCCACACACCCACACATGTGTATATAGAGATAGAGGGTGAGAAAGAGAGGAGGGAGTGAGCGAAGGGGGAAACAGACAATGGTCAACAGATGTGAAAGAGAGAAAGAGATCAGAGGAAGATAAGACAAATAGATCAGAGAATGGTGAGCGATAACGTGGTGGCAGATGGGAACAAGCGATGAGAGGTAAGAGAGAAATGAAAGAGATAGGCAGAGAAATACGAGAGATGAGAGAGAGAGAGAGAGAGATGTGCGAGAGATCAGAGAGATTAGAGATCTAAGAGAGATTCGTGAGAGAGACGAGAGAGAAAGAGACGATAACTAGAGCCCGCTCGGATGGTTGGTATGCTGTGATTTGAGCACTGGAGTTCTTAGAATGGACTGAAATGTTAAAACGCATTCTCATTCATACACGACTTAATTACTTCATTCTTCTATTTCTGCGTTCATAAGAAGATGTAACTGAGTTGTATCCTTTTACAGCAGGGCTGCGATACTTGTGCCTTTTGACCGACACATCCAAGTCCTGCAGTAATTTGATGTCCGGCCTTGCCTTCCCGGGATTAACTCGTTCCAATTACACTGTAAGTATTTTGTGTCACAATGTCTCTTGCGTAAAATCTTCAGAGCCAGCTATAGAAAACGTACAACTACAATGTCGTAAAGTATTATTAGTTCAAGTAAATAACGTAAGGCACTGACATATTTAAAATTGAGCAAATTTAGACTTTTCAAACTCAAAAATACAACAGACATGGTTTACCGTGGCCTGAGATACCAATGACCAGTGGCCAGCAGATCACAACTATCGAAAGCCACGTCATTTGCGACACGTTGGTGCAGATCAACGATTCCCTGATCTAAAAATTTAACATTATTAATAAATATAGCTGTACCTATCTGCCAAATGGGCATGTGTCTAAACTTGTGTTTAAATGCGAAGTTGCGATGGAAACGCTTACTCACTTTCACTTTGGGAAGTATCTTTTTAGGCAGCTATATATATATATATATATATATATATATATATATATATATATATATATATATATATATATATATATATATATGCGTTTGGGGCTTAAATGTTTCGAAAGCGGCTCATAGTTTCCAAATACCCGGTTCGACGCGGCTGCAGACGATTTGACAGCAGATGGCTTTGCGTTGATCTCGACAATGGTATCAAACGTCGACCTTTTAGACAGCAATGGTAAACAAGTGAATGCAACAGTACGTAGTCAAACCATACAAGACACAAGAAATACTGAGGCTGGCTTGCAACGTTCTGTAAAGGATATGCAACTCACTTTATATCATTATCATCATCAGTTTCCCGGTGTGCCGTTAGATTTCACACGGAACTCAATGACGAGTCCGTTCCGATATATCCTGGTGTTAGATATTTTGGAAGAAAACTAGTCCAAAACCTCTTATCGACTTTCGTTTTGGGGTTTCATTTCGATGCCCTCACTTCCTAAATTCTTTTATTTCCCATTGAAGTTACTGTTTGTTGCATCTCTGCCCATTTCTTCTCCGGATGTGTCCAACAGATCTACATCCTCTTTGTCTTTTAACTGTTGTTGCCAGTGGTTTCCCAGACGTTGTTTCTGTGTTGTTTTGCACCCCTCGTGTGCGCACACATCTTGTGTTGGTTTCGACAGTGGTACTGACAACTCACTGTTCTGTGACAATGGCAAACTACTAAACGTAAAATATGCATAGAAAAAAAAGCCATAACAGGCATACAGTGCTGTTGTTGGTTCTGAAGCGTCCTGTAAAGAATACCCAGCTATCTTGTACGAATATGTAGGAAAACAGTAATAGATAAATGCTTAGACTTAGGCTACATTAACACAGATTTGTTTGTATACATATTTTCATATGCGTACAACAATCAATCAGGTACCGTCTCCACAATGAAGGTTGACTGCAATCATCGCCTACATGATCTCTGTTCCGCTCTGCATAAAGACTTTCTCTGTCTTTTGTTGATTCATCTCTCGATGACTGTCTCGTCTTCTCTGGCCTTCCGCGATTGCGTCAACTATGTTTATGATCTGCCACCAGCCTTACGTTAATGTCGACAGTAATATCTAGAGCCGAACGTTAAGAGGGCAATTGCAAACTACAGAACATAACATCGCCTAGTAAAACCAAACTAAGGCAACAAATGCTTCAGTTGGTTCTTCAACTTTATATAAAGAATACGTATCTAATTTCTGGTTATGATGAGGCTGTACTTTAATTCTCTATAGTACTATAGTAATTCACTGTTTTTTCATTACGTTCAGGAACTCTCTCTCTCTCTCTCTCTCTCTCTCTCTCTCTCTCTCTCTCTCTCTCTCTCTCTCTCTCTCTCTCTCTCTCTCTCTTTATTCGCGGTCTTTGAGAACCTGTCTATTCCAATGTTTGGTTTCCAAGACATACGACGAAAGGTAGACAGACACTAAGACAACGAACAGGCTGACGCGCATAGGGAGAGACATACTGATAGATGAGTTCATTAGGATTTTAGTCACTGTTTATGTGACACATCTGTTGTTTTTTTTTTTTTTTCATGTTTAAATAGCAACCATCTAAACACGTTTAAGATCATGTGTTAACTGGGCTGTTGGAATGTGTGCTAACTGGGCTATTAGAATGTGTGCTAAATTTTTAATTAGAATGTGTGCTAAATTTGTTATAAGAATGTGTGCTAAATTTGTTATTAGAATGTGTGCTAAATTTGTTATTAGAATGTGTGCTAAATTTGTTATTAGAATGTGTGCTAATTGGGCTATTAGAATGTGTGCTAATTGGGCTATTAGAATGTGTGCTAAATGGGCTATTAGAATGTGTGCTAAATGGGCTATTAGAATGTGTGCTAAATGGGCTATTAGAATGTGTGCTAAATGGGCTATTAGAATGTGTGCTAAATGGGCTATTAGAATGTGTGCTAAATTTGTTATTAGAATGTGTGCTAAATTTGTTATTAGAATGTGTGCTAAATTTGTTATTAGAATGTGTGCTAATTGGGCTATTAGAATGTGTGCTAAATGGGCTATTAGAATGTGTGCTAAATGGGCTATTAGAATGTGTGCTAAATGGGCTATTAGAATGTGTGCTAAATGGGCTATTAGAATGTGTGCTAAATGGGCTATTAGAATGTGTGCTAATTGTGCTATTAGAATGTGTGCTAAATGGGCTATTAGAATGTGTGCTAAATGGGCTATTAGAATGTGTGCTAATTGTGCTATTAGAATGTGTGCTAAATGGGCTATTAGAATGTGTGCTAATTGTGCTATTAGAATGTGTGCTAAATGGGCTATTAGAATGTGTGCTAAATGGGCTATTAGAATGTGTGCTAATTGGGCTATTAGAATGTGTGCTAAATGGGCTATTAGAATGTGTGCTAAATGGGCTATTAGAATGTGTGCTAATTGTGCTATTAGAATGTGCGCTAATTGGGCTTTTAGAATGTGTGCTAACTGGGCTTTTAGAATGTGCGCTAATTGGGCTTTTAGAATGTGTGTTAACTGGGCTATTAGAATGTGTGCTAACTGGGCTATTAGAATGTGTGCTAACTGGACTTTTAGAATGTGTGCTAACTGGGCTATTAGAATGTGTGCTAACTGGGCTATTAGAATGTGTGCTAACTGGGCTTTTAGAATGTGTGCTAACTGGGCTATTAGAATGTGTGCTAACTGGACTATAAGAATGTGTCTTAATGGGCTATTAGAATGTGTGCTAACTGGACTATAAGAATGTGTCTTAATGGGCTATTAGAATGTGTGCTAATTGGACTATTAGAATGTGTGCTAATTGGGCTATTAGAATTTGTGCACATTGGACTATTATAATGTGTGCTAATTGTGCTATTGGAATGTGCGCTAATTGGGCTTTTATAACGTGTGCTAACTGGGCTATTAGAATTTGTGCTAATTGGACTATTAGAATGTGTGTTAATTGGACTATTAGACCTGAAGAGAATGAGGCACCTTAGTGTAACCAGAGGGTCTGGCCGGCTCACTACACTCAGAGGAAAGGTAAGACGGACTTTTAATCAGATTGTGTTCGGTACTATCATTATTGGAACTCTGCGCTGGCTGCTGAAGATGAGAACGGAGCATGCATGGGAATGCCCCGAGTGCTGTGATGTCAATTCTTGACTAGAGTCAACTCAACTCAGTGTTGACCAGTCTGTGGTTGTTATGGAGATAATGTTATGCATTTTGTTTACCAATTGTATGCGACTCCCTTGTGCCCTCTGATAACTGGTTCTCTTGGACATAGAGTCACCAGAGGTAGGTCACCGCCATCAGTGAAAGATGGATTCGGCGGGACCGGAATGGAGCTGCCCGCATCAGCCTTTGGGACATATAGTGCAAGGGTATATCGTGTTCTGTCCAGTTGTGGGGACTGAGGAGAACTGTTAAGACTTTGTGCTGGTATAGTTTGCTAGCAGAGCATGCTTGAATCGTACTTGTGTTTGCAGGTAAGAACCTTATAGGTTACAGTCTTCAGGTTACGGAGACTGGAAACTGTTCGGACATTTTGCATGTGTAGTGTACTAGCAAAGGGTATATGAATCGTAGTTGTTTTCAGGTGTGAACTTTGACGTTATATTCTTCAAGTTATGGAGACTTCGAACTGTTCCTCTTTGTTCGGGTAATTATGTAGTGAGAGATGGGTTAGTTGAATCAGAGCGACCGAAAGTCTATTCGGTCATCTTACATCACCACTTCATCGTCCTCAGGTGTTCGTCCATGTTAAACAAGACAGCACTAGTAAATTGTACCTTGGGTTATTCACTATAGCGTCTTAGGTAGTTGCTGGTGCTCTTAATAGACTTAACTAGTGTTAGACTCAGAAATAAACAGCCTCACACAATCATATACCCTAGACACTTGACACTTAGTGGAATGATATAGGTGGCTGTGTAACATCGCTACCCAATTTTACATTTACGTAATAGATCTTACCTTAACAAAGACAAGTTAGTCTGCACACTCCGGTGTCCAGTGTTGCAGACTAGGCTTAGATAGTTCAATTCTGAATAATTGCTTGCTGTCACGTGACTTAATCAGTCATTAAGTTTTAATCATGGGCGGTATTGATCACATTGATGTCATGACATGCTTTATGGGAGTTGTCTTTCACTCTCGTGTGCAAGTGTTAGCTCTATCCTATCTTAGAGCAGTTATTGAGCTTAATTCATTAAGCGACCCATTTCCACAACATACTGGATATCGTTACGTGTTGGTAACGCATATCGGCGACAGGCTCGTCCATTAGTTCGCCGGTAGACGATTTCTTCGCCGGTCGGAATAGATTTGGGTCTGTTTCGTTCATTCGCATTAACTCTGCACGAGTCCTTTTCAGAAGTCTTGGTGGTGTGAAATGATAAGCCTTTTTATGTGATGCACATAAGCTAGTCACAATTATAACCTAAAAACCCCTCTAGGGATGCTGGGTGATGGTTATGGCTGTTTTTTTTTTTTAAATAAAGCTCCTATCTGCATGTTGGTAGCTCCATACATCAAAAGTCAAATACGCATTATTTAGATGCCGTGATAAAACACGAACAGTTTTTATTCAAGTACCTTAAGGGGTTTACTTTAGAAAGGTCGAGCTAGGAACCCAGCGTTAGAAGGGAGGAAGATTTACAATAAAGACAACCGGATCGAGTGGTCAGCACACTAACCGTTGAAGAGGAATAATTGTTAAGCTACCATCATTCTAAACAATAACTAATTGTGGATCCCTAATGTAAAGTAGAACTGTGGTGACGTTTGTTATTTCTTCCCCTAATATAGTAATGTAGAGTCCATATTACTGTACATAT